CTGGAAATCATCCTAATTGGGGAAATTACATATTGTATCTATTGTCTGTCACATAACAGAAGTTGGGTGCAGTAGGTGGGCTAACTAATCAAATGTCAACCGGAATTCCGAAAAACGTTTTCTTTCCGAAAAGATTATTTAAATAGGGTTGTAAAACTAATTATCATGCACCATAATTTTATAATAATTCTGTTACTTCAGGATGCCAGCTCACGACCGAACTTTTTATCGCCTGCATGCAAAAACCACACTCTGTGAAAAATGTCTTCTTAAGTAGCAAGCATTTTTCTCATTGGTTTTCGACGCCCTTAAAAGTTCGATTATATTTCATGGGAAATATGCATAAAAATATTCATTCTTTTATTCATTTGATAGAAAATTACGTCTTCTTTTAATTTTATACTCGGAGGGACATAATTCTATTTTAAAAGATGTTTTCCAATTCCCTAATAATTTTGAAACTCGACCTGCCGTTACACTTGCATTAGGGGTTTTTCAAACTACAAGCTGAATATTTTACGTGTACGGTAAACCATACATTTCTCTAAGGCATTAAGAGGAGACCATATGGAATTCATAAAATTAAGCAGTGGATTCGAACAGTATTGTTAACGTTACAAGCCACATTGGTAAGTGCAGATACATGACATTTTATGAACGGCCATTTCACGGCATTGAAAAATTTCACAATTAGAAAACTTTTGAAACCGAATTATGCGCCTCCCTCAAATGTAAAATTGGAAGAAGACATTATTTTTTACCGAATAAATAAAAGAATAATTATTTTTATGCATTATTTTCATGAGATATAATTAAACTTTCAAGGCCATCGATAAGCAATGAGAAAATTGCATACTACTTAAGTAGTCATTTTTGCGGAGAGTAGTCCTTTCATGCAGTCGAAAGTAAGTTCGTTCGAAAGAAGGCACCCTGAGGTAACTGAAGCATTATAGAATTATGCTGGACAATGATTAGTTTTACGACCATACTTAATCAATCTTTTCGAAACGAGAACGCATTTCGAAATTTCGGCCGACATTTCATGAGTTAGCCCACCTACTGTATGCAATCATTTTTACATAATATAGTTCTTGCATGCGGCCGAAAGACTTTTTTCCAAAAACCGGTACCCCGAGGCAACTGAATTATTACACAATTATGTTGCATGATGATTAGTTTTACAAACCTACTTACGTCATCTTTTCGAAACAAAAACGTATTTCGGAACTTCGGTTGACCTTTCATGAGAAGCCCACTTACTGTAAATAATGTATCTAGTGTCAATCAGATAAGAGAAGAGCTGCAATTCAAAGCGCATCTTTATTATCTAAATCAAACTTGTAACAATGATTTCCCGGTGATTTCAGAGTCAAGACAAGTCACGAAGTCTGAAAATAGACACCAGCTTTATTCATACGCTGGCGGCCGGCATACGCTGCAGTTCTTGTCAAAGTTTGCACGTAGTTTTCGTGTTTTGACACCTGAGTCGGTAGTGTCCTTACCCCCAATCTGTCCTTTCACTAGAGGCAGGTTCATTTAGTAGGCAACTTCCCTCAGTAGTCTTACCACAAAGAAAACCTCCATTCTCTGCCTGAATAGATTTACTTAAAGCAGCAAACGTGTCTGGGCGCAAGCTGTGGCCGCTCAGACTGCCACTCAACTAGTTTCCACAAGCCGAGCAGCACTCGCAGGGCTGTTTTTCCTGCCTAGATTCTGTTTCGAAAAATGCACACCTCAGAGGAGATCCTGAAAGGCAGCGAATCTCTGTTTACCCGGTAGTCAGACAGAACGCACCGAAAGTCAGTAACCTTGGAGTGCATGAATAAGCACGTTTTCAGACTGAAAAACAAAAGCAAGGCCGCGTGCCGACTGGCCTGCTGTTTGATTCGTTTACTGTGGCCTTCGGTTGAGAACGCTTCTGTGATCTTTCAGGATCTCACTACGACCCACCTAAGTAACATGTAGTTTTGCACCGACTTCCTGGCTTACGTGCAGCCTATGCAGACGCACGAGGGTTTGAACTCGATTTCTCAGGAATGTTTTATGTCAAACGCTTGACCAGTTGTGTGACGGACTAGGGTCCTGTTGGTTGTCGTCACGATAGAAGTGAGAAGATGAGTTCTAGGTGGTAGTTGGAAGAAGGAGAATGAGAAAAAAATGTAATTTGTCCAGACTTCGTGGATTCATACTAAGATCTATCACCCGAGACAGCAGCAGAGGTGAGCAGTGGACACATAGGTGATGTGGACTTTACAGGACGCCCGTTCTACGGCCTCACATGTCTATAAGAATCCCTAACGCCTCAATGCATTAATTACCTGCATTCGACCAGTTGACTGCCATAACTGCATCACCAGTTTTGGTTAATAAATATTTGGAACATTCAAAATCCCGCAGGAATATCATTCAGCGAAATGGCGGGCGGGACTGGTCATGACGATCTCCATGGTTTTATCTATAACGCAATCTAATTTTTGATTCCTCGTCTACATGCAGAGGTTTTAGATCCAAAGCCTCAGGAAAAAGGATGGCGAAGTTTAGTCCTACAGCCGCATTTGATTGATGTCATATGGATAACTTCCTAAAACAAATTTGATAGGTGTAATTATGTTAACTTTAAATACATCAAGTGTTCGCACTTTCCTTACCATTTTATTTCGGCGAGGGTCTATGCGTCGGGGGCGGGAGTGCTTGAATGCCAACCTGGTCTCCACTGCCAGGTCCTGGGGGATAGAAGCAAAAAAGGACGGGACATCAAAGGGAACCATGACGTCGCTTGGCAGGAGGCTTACACCTTTAAGCTTCTCCAAGAATCGTCTTGACGCGCTGAATGTAGTGTCTGAATTTGCGGTCAGGAATTTCAGAAGCCGAAACAGACATTTTTCCAGTCCGTAAGTTGGAGTACCTTTGAGTGAGACGATGGGCCGGAGGAGGACACCCTATTTGTGCACCTTTGGAAGGCTATAGAAGCGGACCAAGGCCGTGTCCTGGGCTCCCGCCATGCGTCTTGGTATCGTCCGTCGCTTCCGTCTCACTGAGGATTGGTTCCACCGCTGCGATCAGGTCGACAGGTCTGGTATCAGCTGTGTTAGATGAAGCTTAATGTCGTAACACCTGCATTTGATACTTCATCAGCTCCTTTGATGACAGGTTGTGCACCAGTGATGCCGTGATGCACTCGAGAGCTGTCAACTGCGATAAGCATGTAGCGGCCTAGAAACTACCTCCTATAAATACAACAACACCTGGGCAGTTTACCACCCTCAGCTGGCTGTCTCTGATGATGGATTCGAGTGAGAATCCGAAATATCAGTCTACTAAATCCCTTGTTCCAGCGATCGCGTCTCCTTTTTTGAACCCACTTTATTATCTTAATCCAGCGAGCGACTAGGTAGGCTTGTTAATGGCACAATTCGAACGGATTGGAACTTTGTCGGTTCCAATACAGTGGTCATGTACGGCGAACTGGCACGCGGCTGTCTCCGTGGCCTTCCACTTGTGATTGCACTCTCCTTATCCTCTTAGTCCAGCTCGTGTATATGTCGTGGAGAGAGTGTGTACACGCCACATTCAGCTATACCAAGCCTCGGTTCACACGCGCTTCCTTGCCTGTGCTTTGATCTCTGATTACTCTCTCTTCCCCTTCCTAATCCAGCAAGTGGTTAAGATTGGTATATTAGCCAAAATTGTTTTAGTAAGCTATTCGTATGTTATCAATAAAGCGGAGCTGCAGAACCAAACCTCGCCAAAAGGGCAATGCCCATGCACTTAAGACAGCTCGGTGAACGTTTTTTAAACCCTTTTGGGAAAACAAATAACGCTGCACACATATAGTACGTGGGCTTACTCATGAAATGTCAACCGAAATTCTGAAATGAGTTTTCGTTTCGAAAAGATTAATTAAACAGAGTTGGAGAACTAATCACCGAGCAGCAAAATTCTATAATGATTCAGTTACCCCAGGATGCCGGCTTTCGAGCGAACTTCTTTCCGGTTGCATGCAAAAACCATACTCTGTAAAAAACTGACTACTTAAGTAGCACGCATTTTTCTCATTGATTTTCAGTGCCCTTAAAAAATCAATTATATTTTATGGCAAACATGCATAACAATATTCATTCCTTTACTCATTCGGTCGAAACTTGCGTCTTCTTTCAATTTTATACCCAAATGAAGCGTATAATTCGGTTTTTAAAAACTTTTCTGATTCCCGAATAATTTTGAACCGATCTGCCGTTACACTTGCATTCAGGGTCTCCAAACACAAACCATATATTTTCCGCATACGGAAAACCATATTTATCTTTACGGCATAAAGTGTAAATCATGTGGGTTTCATAAAATTTAGCAGTGGATTTGAGCCATTTTGTTAATTTACGAGCCATATTGGTAAATGCCGAAGCAGGACGTTTTATGAACGGCCATTTCACGGTATTAAAAAATCTTACACTTAAAAACTTCTTTTTACAACCGAATTATACCCTTCTTTGGAGTATAAAATTGAAAGAAAACGCAAGTTTCGACCGAATGAGTAAAGGAATGAATATTGTTATGCATGTTTGCCATAAAATATAATTGAATTTTTAAGGGCATTGAAAATCAATGAGAAAAAGGCATGCTACTTAAGTAGTCATTTTTACAGAGCATAGCTTTTGCATGCAGCCGGAAAGAATTTCGTTCGAAAGTCGGCATCCTGAGGTAACTGAATTATTGTAGAATTATGCTGCTTAATGATAAGTTCTCCAACTCTACTTAATTAATCTTTTCGAAACGAAAACTCATTTCAGAATTTCGGTTGATATTTCATGAGTTAGCCCACCTACTGTACTACAAATCAGGGGGGAGTAGCTACTGCATATGTAGTGTCTGCCTCTTAATGCTTAGCCTGCGGCTGTACTCTTCTCCTTCAGGGCATTCAAGCTATCGAGCAAAAGGTGAAATTCTGCCACAGCGATAAGTACGGCTACCTAACCTGCTGTCCGTCCAACCTGGGTACCGCGATGCGGGCCAGCGTCCACGCACGTGTGCCCAAACTGTCCGCAAACAAGGCCAGATTCGATGAGGTGTGCAAGAAGTACGGTATCCAGGCGAGAGGTAAGCTGCCCATTCTCTCATTATTTACCCTTAATCTCTTATCCTCCCCATCCTTTGATTCCTAAAATTGGACACGAAAGTACAGTGCGTGACCGATCTTATGAAATGTTAGCCAAAATTCTGTAATGCGTTTCCGATTAGGAAGGATTACTTAAATGTGGTTGTTATACTGATTATCTTGAAGCATAACCCTATAACATTTCGGACTCGTCAGGATGTCGGCTTTTGAATGCACTGCTTTTTGACCTTCTGCAGAAACCGCACTTGGTAAAAAATGACTACTTAAGTAGCATGAATTTTTCTTATTGATTCTCGATGGTCTTATAGATTCAAATATATTTTATAGAAACCATGCACAAAAATATACTATATTTGGCTCACTTGGTAGGAAATCACATTGTCTTCATATTTTATGCCCGAAGGGAGTGTATGTTTTGTTTTTAAAAAAGTTTCCCAATTTCCGAATAATTTTTTCAGCCTGATCTGCCATTGAATCAGTGTTTGGCATTTTCAGTCTACAAGGTGCATGTATTCCACGTAAGCAAAATCATATGTTCCTCTATGTCTTTAAGAAGATACAACATAGAGTTCATGAAATTTTGCAATGGATCCGAACTGTGTTGTACACCTCATAAGTAGCATTAATAAACGGACATGTGCGGTCTTGCATGCATAGACATCACACTGTCTTATAAATCTCATAATTAGAAACTTTTAAAACCAAAATATACACTTCCTTCGGGCATAAAATATATGGAAAATCTGATTTCCTACCAAGTGAGCAAAATAAAGTATATTTCTGTGTATGGTTTCTATAAAATGTATTTGAATTTATAAGAAAAATGCATGCTACTTAAGTGGTCATTTTTATCGAATGTGGCTTTTGCAGGAGGTCAAAAAGAAATGAATTCAAAAGCCGGCATTCTGACGAGTCCGAATTGTTATAGGGTTATGCTTCATGATAATCAGTATAACAACCCCACTTAAGTAATCCTTCCTAATCGGAAATGCATTCCAGAATTTTGGCCAACATTTCATGAGGTCGGTCACGCACTGTAAGTACCATCCCCCTGAATTACATTCATATACCGTCTGCATACTGCAGATGTGCTAACTCATAAAATGCTAACCAAAGTGCGTTTTTGACTCGAAAAGATAGCCTAAGTGGTGTTGTTATTTTAATCAATATGCAGCACAATCTCATGACAATGCAGTTAATTCAGAATGCTGGCGTTTGGACGAGCTTCTTTTTGGCCGCCTGCAAAGGTTACGCTTGACAACAATGACTACTGTAGTAGCATGAATTTTTCTCATTGATTTTCGATGTCCTTATAAATTTAGATATATGTCGTGAAAAACATGTATAAAATATTTTTTTAGTTTGCTCATTTAGTAGAATATTACATCCTCTCCAAATCGTATACTTGAAGAAGGGTATAGTTTGGTTGTAAAAAGTTTCTAATTATGGGACTTTTGAGACCGTGAAATGTACGTTCGTAAAATATCCAGCCTCTGCGTTTACTAGTGTTGCTTCTAAAGTTTACACTATGCTCAAGTCCACTGATAAATTTTATGCACACCTATACAGTCTCCTCTCAGTACAGTAGAGAAATGTATGATTTTGCGGGCTCGGAAAATATAAGCCTTGTAGTTTGGATACTTTGAACGCAAGTGTAACAGCATGTCGGTTACAAAATTATTCCGAAATTGGAAAAGTTTTTTAAAACCAAATTTCGGGACCTCTCATTCAGCTGCGTACGGTCATTGCATATTTGTATGACAAGGCAAACTGTTCAATCGACGATCGACCTAGAGAGATAAAACGCGATAGGTAACCTGATGCATGGGTCTAGTATGCGGGTGCATATGGCGAGGGGGAGAGAAGTCATCCAAGTATGAGAGATAGGACTACAGTGAGAACTTGTTCGGCGTGATTTAGAGTGCAACGCGCAGGCAGCATTCAGTCATGCCGGGGCAGCTGCAATACGGAGGAGGAAACCAGAGCTCTGTAAGCAGTTGGACCACGTTATAAACCTGGCACTACCATGGTAAGAATCGATTATGAATGAAACCCTGCGCCCATATACGCCCTCTTATTCCGCCCCCACCCCCCCTCCCCTCCCCAGCATGACTGAATGCTACCCGCGCGTTGCACTCTAAATCACGCCGGACAAGTTCTCACTGTAGTCCTAACTCTCATAATTGGATGACTTCTTTCTCCCTCCCTCCTCGCCATATGCACCCGCATACTAGACCAATGTTTCAGTTTACCTATCGCGTTTTATCTCTCCAGGTCGATCGTCGATTGAACAGTTTGCCTTGTCATACAAATATGCAATGACCGTACGCAGCTGAATGAGAGGTCTCGAAATTCATGACGTCAGTAAATACTGCATGCTTTGTCGCTTTTGCCTTATTCAAATTTATTCCGGGAAAACTTTGCTTCAATAAAACCAAATTGTACACTTCCCTCAAATATGGAATTTGAAGAAAACGTTATATTCTACCTAATGAGTAGAATAAAGAATATTTTAGTGCATTTTTTTAATAAATACGTCTAAATATATAAGGGCATCGAAAATCATTGAGAGAAAACTCATGCTTCTACAGTAATCATTGATGTCGAGTGTAACTTTTGCAGGCGGCCGAAAAGAAGTTCGTTCAAAAGCCAGCATCGTGAAATAAGTGCATTATCATGAGATTTTGCTGCACGTTAATTGATATAACAACACTGCTTAGGTAATCTTTTCGAGTCGAAAGCGCATTTCAGAATTTCGGCTAACATTTTATGGGTTAGCACATCTGCTGTATTTGATTTAGGTAGTTGCAAAAAGTCATTATTCGGAGGTGCCTGCACGCACGCTTTCACGCGACCAATTGGGTGACTATCAGGATACTGGCTGAGACTAGAAAATCAACAGAAACGGTAAAATAAGGCGTAAACAGACACCGTAGGTCTCACAATTTGTGGCATAAATTTGCTAACCGGTGTAATAGTAGACACTGAAAAAATGGCGAATGTCTGTAGCAATGGTAACGACATGGGAGAAGATGCGTTGGACACCTATAGTAAGTGGGCTCAATCAGGAAATGTCAACAGAAATTCTGAAATGTGCTGTAGTTTCGAAAAGATTAATTAAGTAGGGTTGTAAAACTAGTCAGCCTGCAACATAATTCCATCATATTTCAGTTACCTCAGGATGCCGGCTTTCGAACAAATTTCTTTTTGACTGCATCAAAAAGCCATATTCCGTAAAAAATGACTACTTAAGTAGCATGAATTTTTTCTATTGATTTTTGATGCCCTTAAAGATTAAATTATGTTTCAGGGTAAACATGCACAAAACATATTATTATGATTATGACACTTGAGGGAAGGGTAGAATTTGGTTTTACAAACCTTTTCCGATTCCTGAATAATTTCAAACCCAACCTGCCGTTACACTTGCATTCAAGGTTCACAAACTTCAAGTCGTATAATTTCCGCATACGGAAAACCACACATTTCTCTACAGTACTAAAAGGGGACCATATAGGGTTCATAAAATTTAGTAGTGGATTTGAGTCACATCGTGAACTATACAAACCACATTCGTAAATGCAGAGGCATGATGTTTTATGAAGAGCCATTTCACGGCATTAAAAATCTCACAATTAGAAAATTTTTAAAATCGAATTATATACTTCCCTCAAGTGTAAAATTGAAAGAAGACGAAATTTTCTACTGAATGAGCAAACGAATAATTATTTGTATGCATGTTTACCAAGAAATATAATTGAATCGTCAAGGACATCGAAAGTTAATGAAAAAATGCATGCTATTTAAGTAGTCATTTTTTACGGACTATGGTTCTTAGATGCAGACAAAAATAAATTTATTCGAAAGCTGGCGTCCTGTGGTACCTGAATTATTATCGAATTATGCCGGAGGCCGTTTAGTTTTACAACCCTGCTTAAGTAATCTTTTCGAAAATAAAACGCATTTCGGAATTTTTGTTGACATTTCCTGAGTTAGCGCACCTACTGTACCAGTGGTTTGGCGGTTGACCGGTAGAAAATCATCGAAGGACCGAGATGTCTACTGGCACTCATATCCAATCTCACTGCCCATTAGCTGAAAACAGATTGATTGCTGCGATTTATGGCCCCTCATGTATGTAAGAAGAACCTGACACCACATGGGATCCCAACGGCGACCTAGCCACCGTCCACGTGGTTAAGAAGGAAGCCAAGGGACAGAGATAACGCAGAGGATGACAATGTTCTACAAGAGTAATGTACGCTTTCTCCAAATTTGTCGGCAACCGGGCCCACGGCCTACAGCTTGAAGTCATGAATTTGAATAGTCGCTGGCAATATAACAATTTGACCGTTGTTTCTGACGAGTTCTACCGTTTACCCCATAACAGGGCGGGCCCATGCGCCGTGAATTGCTCGTCAACTAATTTATAATGATAATGATCTTGCGTTGCATCCACCGTACTCCCTTCTCCCTCAACCACCTCAGTCCAGTGTCAAGACGGAGTCAAGAAGACCGGAGATAGGAAAGGACGCAAGTGGCTGTCGCAGAGAAAGCCCGCACCTAGGCATGAACTGCCACATCCCCTGTTCCATAACGGACACTGAGCAGGATTTTATACACGAAAAAAAATAAAGGGAGGCGGCTCGGATACCAAACGCGCAGCTTGGTCTTTCAGCTGAGCGTGCCACAACGTCCCTAATGTTGGCACTTGTTATGAGTGACCATTCTAGATAACGCCTGCCGGATCCCGATCTAGCCCCGTATTGCACAAGCGCATCTACTGCGTGGCGCGTTGCAGGAGCAAACGCACGCACGAGAGTTCGGCCGCCGTGATCGACGATGTCCACACCCTGTGCCCCACAGAAAGGCGAGAGCGGAATGGTGAATGGTACGTGAGTTAGCTTATAGTGGTAGTAGACCTGCACAGCATCTACGGTACTCTCTCCTCCCCCACCTGGACGCGGTGTCCAGACATAGTCAAGAAGACCGGAGGCGGGGGGGAGAGGGCGCAGGTGACTGACACGGCGAAAACCCGCACCTAGGCGTGCCACCACACTCCCCATGAATAGGCATTGTTATGGGTGCGCAATCCAATAACATGCGCCGTACCCTGACCTGGTCACTGTGTTGGTTCAATACAACTACCATGTGGATCCTTGTAGCGATTAGGCTGGCAACATAAAGAAACAAAAGTGGACGTTTTGGTAAAAGGAGCGCGCACCGATCGCGCTAGGGAACTCACACCTCCCGTTGTGCCTTGGGGCTCTCTCTCGAGTACCGCCAGCAGCTACACAGTGATGCGTAATACAGGCAAAATAACGTTACAGACAAAGACAAGGGAGACTGGAATAGCCATCTTTGACTTATTAGCCATCGTCGGCCAGCCACAGCCAACCCCGAGGTGTCGAACCCCTGGGACTCGATCTCGTGATATGTTGGTTAGAAGTCCAACGCCCCCAACCACTGAGCCACAGACTCAGTGGTTAGAGGCGTTAGTGGGTGTTTTCCAGCGACCATGCTAGTGATTAGCACGAAACCAATTCTGGACTATAGACCCAGTCGGGACATCTGAAGAGGTTTGTCCTGAGGGATTTTCCCCAAGGTAACGCGTAATTTCAGAGGAAATTAAAGATACGACCTTTGTTATGCATTTTGAACGAGCCTGTATAGTATGCCATATCTGCGGTGGTTTGCTTAGACATTCTGAAATGGCATGACTAGTGACTCGAGTCATCCGGTTATCGAGAACTCGAATCCAGTTCTGTAGCCAAGGTGTCGAGTATTCAGGTATTAGTATTAGTTGGTGGCGTCTGAAATTTTACTACTTGCTCTACTGCCTTTGCTGGTGTTGCAATATTGCGGGTAGACCTTTGGCCGCAAAACACTCTATATCGAAGACACGAAGTCCCTCAGTTTACCACAAGGTTTCCTATCGCCTCCTCCTAGAGATAGTGCAGCATCTCTGGTATAGCATTATGCCATCTACCGTAGCATGGTTTTCTCGCGTGTTAGTTGCCAGATACCCCGAATAAAACAATTTCAAACATCCATAGACAGGCGGATGTAAAATGTAATCAGGAAATCTATAATTTGCCAAGTTCTGAATGTCTCTAGGTTCCTCCGAATCGCGTTTGACGAATTTACGTAATTGTTTTTAACGTTAGATCAGAAGTTTTTGAATGATTGTGTGCAAAGTTAACCTCTAAACATGTAATGCTGCCAGTACGCTGAAAATTGGCAGGTTAAGCAAGAGTAGTGATGTAGTCTTACCATTCCTCCAGTCTTAAAGCTCTCCGTACTCATGTTTAGCTTGAAATTTGAATCGGACACTCGTAATATGGACTCCGCCCCATAATGAGGGTAGCCTCTCGTTAAATTCCAGAGGAGTTCCTGCTCCCTTATCCTAACTTTAATCGCAATCTCAAAACTTATCTTAATCCTAACTTTTACGATAAACATAACCCAAACTATCAACCCCGAGGAATTTAGTACAAGGTCGACTGTAGTGTGGGAGGATCGGCATTCCTGTGTTTAAGCAAAATTTTCCTGCGTCGATGACCAAATATGCGATCTCACCGCTTAGTTACCGTAACATGCCTGCTTATTTGATTTAAGTAGGCATGTTATGTTGGTATTCGTTTCTGGCTAAGCCTAAGAACATGATTAAAGTTGGGGTTAAGGTTGAGGTCAGGTCGATGATTAGATCCAGGGAAAGGGGTAGAGTTAAGGTGGGGGCTAGGATTAATTATACCTTCCACACACCGTGCCGCCCGAGGCCTTCTTTGACTCATAACCTCGAATTAACTGTTTCTGCTCGTATACACAGCCCCACTTCGCATCTTTCTAATTGTGTGGTCTGTCCCGGTAGTTCGTTGAAATAATAAAACAAACCTATGGCAGAAATGTGGGTTTCTTCAGTGTCTTCCACAGCTTCCATTAATTACTGCATCCATCCCCCCTACTGATAAAAATATTATGAACACCCTTCTCGCATTACAGGCGTTTTTGCGCTCTATTTTCCCAGAGAGCTTGTATATTCACCTTACGCTTTCCTCGGTAAAAGAGTTGGGTTGTGCCAGTATTCCACTCCTTTCCGGCTTTTTGCAAACAGGGATCCACGGAGAACACACAGAGTCTATCGGCGGAGTCTATGACCTGAGCAATGAGCGTCGTCTTGGTCTGACCGAATTGCAAGCCGTCCGTGAGATGGCCGTGGGAGTTGAGGAGATCCTGAAGATTGAAGCCTCGCTGTGACCTTGGTCTTCTCAGAGTTACTTTGAGTTCCCCTACATATAGAGCTCGCTGCATAATGATGAGGGAAATTTGTCTGACTTTTATTCCCCTAATAATACATATGTTGGAGTGGCCTTCCTTTAGGCACTCATACCCCCTAACAGTGAACATGTTCCGACCCAGTCATGTACTCTTTCCCGGTTAAGTTGCTCATATATAACAAAGTCTGTTTCGATTTTCCTTTACTATGCAACGTACTTCGAGGACCTACCTCTCTTTCCCTCTTATAAAAATATTCGTGAAGCTTATGCACAGTTACGTGCTGAGGCGTGATCAAGCGTTCAAACTAAATAAATGTACGTCGGTATGGGTTCTTTACCTGCAGATAATTGGCCTTGCGTCATTGCCTGAGTACGAGAGACCCAGGTAAAATATGAGAGACTCCACACTGCACTACTTCTGACCGCCGAAAAGTCGATAGATGACCGAGTTCGAAGAAACATGGATGACTGGATCCCGGAGATGGAAGTAATCCCGCGGTCGGCATTGGCAACGCATGCGACATGTCCCACAATTCGCACAGACTGCCGACCCTGTAATGTGGAATGTACTAAGAACGCATCGAAGTCTAGAGAAAAGAGGTTAAAATCTTTGTTTAAAAGAGCACAGTGTAACTGAGCCTTTCTTGGCGGACGTAATTTCATCTTCTAAATTAAAATTTGAAGTACAACGTTTACAATAATTGAAACTTCGAACAAAGGATATCGTTTGCTTTGACAAGGTCACGATCAAGTGTTGTCCGTTTGTTTGATTGGACGGGTCTGACCAATGAGTATGCAGTTACCATCACGATAGCCTCCGCAATGATGCCCCTAAATCGACCAAACAGACACATGGGCCGAACAACTCGTTAAGTTATGACATTTATAGTTGAACCTCATGTACATAAAGCACGCCACTTAAATCCTGAAATGCGCGTTAATCAATGAGAAGTCCTTAGTAGCTCGGAAACCCGACCCAATGCATCGCCAAAATATCCAATTAAAAAAGAACAACCATCATCGGAACAAAAACAGCAAGGGGCATAAAAACAGCTGGATGGATATAGGATTTTTAAGGAAAGCGAAAAATTCGTGTCAAATGAATAGAGGTGAAAAAATAAAAGCTGCTGGAAAAGACTTCAGGCGGATGGTTGCATAAGCGAACACGACGTAGAGCGCCTCCGACCCGTCGGTACGCATATACCTCGATTATATGGTTTGCCGAAGATCCACAAAGATGGCGTACCGGTTCGCCCAATCCTCGATATGAGAAACTCGCCGTACCATGCAATAGCGAAATGGCTGGCGGAGAAACTTAAACCTCTGCAATATCAACTAGCGCCACATAGCTATCGAGATACTTTTGAATTCATTAACGGCGTGAAAGACTTTGATCTGAACGAAATGGTTATGTTTTCGTTAGATGTCTCGTCCCTTTTTACGAACGTACCGGTAACGCAAACGGTCAACTACCTTTGTGATTTCATTGCCGACAATCAACGGGATATAGGACTGCCAGTAAATGCCCTCAAGGAATTGTTATTGAGGTGTACCTTGAACGTGCAGTTCCTATTCGACAACAATCTATATAGGCAGATGGACGGCGTAGCAATGGGCTCGCCCCTTGGCCCGCTTTTGGCGAATATCTTCATGGGAAAATTAGAAGCTGTCCAGTTACGTCACCAGACCAACGGTCTAAGATACTATGGGCGATACGTGGATGATATATTCGCGATTGCACCGAAACTAAGCGACATCTCAATTCTACTGGATGACATAAATCAGGCGCACCCATCAATAAAATTCACTCTGGAAGAAGAACAGTCCGGTTCACTTCCCTTTCTGGGTGTGCTTCTGAGTAGAAGACCTGACGACAGCATTCGACGTAGCGTTTATCGTAAGAAAACGTGGTCCGGACAATACACCCATTTTGGGATTTTCGTACCGCTAAACGTTAAACGTAATTTAGTCCGCTGTTTGACAGAAAGAGTGAGAAGAATCTGCTCAGCCGATAGCGTTGAGAAAGAGCTTAAGATCATTGAAAGCCTATTTCGCCAAAACGGGTATCCTGACCGATTCATCGCTAAGAACATGGCCGAAAGACCGCAAAAGCCCCCGATGCTGACGGCGGGAAAGAAAAGGCTCTTTATCAGGGTCCCATTTCAAGGGGATGCACCGAGTGAACTTCTGAGAAGACGCCTAACCCAAGCTGTATCACAGACCTTTCCAGCAGCTGACACCCGTATATTTTTCTCCACCAGTCCCATCCTATACGGAGAGGGCAAGGACAAACTACCAGCTCAGAGCACCTCTATGTGTATCTACTCCTTCACCTGCTCCTGTGGGGCAGAATATATTGGTCGCACGAGCCGGCGTTTATCCAAAAGAATGAAAGAACATCTCCCAGCATGGTTAGGAAAGGGACAAATAAAGAACATCAACAGCTCGATCCTCGCGCACATGGTAGACACAGACCACCGTGTAGACGCCAGAGAGGCCTTCAGAGTGATTTACGAGGTTCCATCAAGCTATCCAAAACTGCTTGGGCAGCGCTTGTTGACTATGGCAGAGGCGGCTGCAATCAGGCTACGCCGACCTGTCCTATGCGCACAGAAGAACTTCGTGCAGGCCCCACAGTTACCATGGGTCAAAGCCACCAAGCCAGACACCCGCATGTAATTGCATTAGCCGGGACCCACCTTCTCCCTGGCGCCGACTGGAATTATGGTGTTTCACCCTCCCCCTCCCCTACCCTCCCCTCTCCAAACCCAAGCTACAGATTAATTATCTATTTGCCCGTATCTTTTGCATTCATTACTTCAATAGCCATATAAATGTACAGGCCTGAAGAGAATTTATCGAAAGCAAACGTATGCTCGCCAAATTGCCTTTTGAAATGAATAAATGCAATTTGTATATGTTCACTATCCAATTACATTTAAAATACTTAATAAGAAAAGCAGGGTACAACTGTAACGAGTAAAGGACTTTTGGACCGGGAGTTTACAACCAGGGATGGGAGGTAGTATTCTAGGGGTGCGCGGTAAAATTTTCATTTTTTGTCTAAAATAAGGTAAATAATTGAATAACTGATGTGGTATGCATTCCGAGGCGATTTAATGAAAAAGAGAAGGCTCTTAGGAAATTCGGGTTGTACTCGTAAAAGTCGGTGACTCCAACCCGTCGTCAGACGAAATGAACAGAGGAGATCGTGAGATCGGCAGACTAGGTCGGCTGGCGCGATAGGACAGACAACAACGAATAGACAGCTGATGTGTGAGAGGGGTGGGCATCGAGTTATGGTAAACTGTGGGGCAGGGGGAGGGAAGGGAGAACGGTTAGGGCTCCCTGCGTTGGAGGTGGAGAAAGATCGGGGGAATCGCGGATCAGTGGGATGAGGTCAGGGGGGCGATGCACCGGCGTTGGAGTTGTTAGGGCTTTCGGTTGTTGTTCGCCGTGTCTCGGGGGGGAGGCGGGGCGGAATGGCGAGACAGCATACGTCCATGTGGCCGAGTTGGGGTTAGCAGTTGTTAGTGTGGGAATTCAGATGTGTGACATGCAATTTTGTTTTTTATATAGCAGTGCGCTGGTTATCATGTGGGAATGTTTTAATGCGCTTTTTGAACTACGAGAAGTCAAATCATTTTAAGTGAACGGGAATATTATCTTGTTAGAGAAATGGCGTTACAAGGATCCAACCAAACTTCACTAATGGTTCAAAAATTACCGCATGACATTGGTGCGCGTGAAAAACAGATTTCCTGCATATGCGTCTATAACAGACTCGCCGCGCATATTGTTAACATCAGTCACGTCTCTCAATGTCATGCTCACTAGGTAATTCCCATACGTGCGGTAGTTAATCTATTTCAGTTCTTTCTCTAATAAATAGTGAGCGTACCTACGTTATATTACATGAATATTGTTGTTTTCCTCCTAATGGAGTTGATCCTTGTGACATGATCGCTGGAACAAGAGCTTTATTAGCCCGACGTTTCGGATCCTCACTCGAATCCATCATCAGAGACAGAGTCAGATAAGGGTGGTAAATTGCCCAGGTTTTGCAGTATTCATAGGATGTATTTGCCAGGCTGGGCCTTGCCTATCGCAGTTGGCAGCTCCCGAGTGCATCACGGCTCGACTGGCCAGGTGTTGAAGCACGCACTTGCCGTGCAGTTGCTATGCCCTTGTGTGCTGGTCAAGATTATCGATTCCCACGCTCATCGCACCCAGTCGAGTTGCGTGTTCCAGCGATCGCGTCTCCATCTTCGCAACTACTTCCTGGAACTCGCCTCTTCGCTTCTACCAGTTAATCCTTATTTTGGGTTATAATTCTTCAATTACCATTAACACCCCATGATGCCAAAGAGAAGAAAACTGAATAATGACCACGCAAATTTTGGTTTCAATTGCATCGCGATAACTGATGATGTGTAAAATACCCAGGACATATTATGTGGCGCTGTTCTTTTCAAACACACATTTGAAGCCGTCTAAACTGGTGAAACATTTCAAAAACAGACAAGGTGGTGCACAATTTGCACGCCGTGATGTTGAATCATTGAAAGCTAAAGGAACCCGATTGTATTCTCGAACAATTCTTCTGAAATTAGCTCAACTAAAAAACCACTGCTGACAACTTCATACCACGTGGCGTATAAAGTAGCCGAGTGCAATAAGCCACATTCACTTGCAAATTGTTGGTATAACCGCATGTGTTAGAAATGGAAATAACTGCTTCGAGGAAAGAAGCCCCAAACAAGCTTAAATTAGTACCATTATCAAATAATGCTATTTAAAGCCGAATCAGTGATTTGAGTTTGGACATTGTAAATCAAGTTGTCACTGATATTGGCAACGTATGACTTGCACATCCAAATTATTAATTCTTTGTGTACTGACAGTGCACCTGCTATGTCAGAAAATGAATCAAGATTTTCTGCATTGATTAAAAAAGAGACTCCACATTTACCAGATGCC